ATTGAGGACAATGTTTGGTTCATGTGTGGGGGAGGAGCTTTGTTGCTTTGCTCTTAGTTTTTTGTTATTTTTATGCGTAAATCGAGTCCTATCGTATGCTATCTTTTTCTTTTTTTAGATAATTCCCCTAAGATTGATAAAAATTTCCCCAACGAAATTTTTTTCTTTCTAATTCAATAGCATGACACTTTTCATTTTTTAGGCTTTATTAATTAGACTTGGGAAAAGTCTAGATATCATCGGCATCATCCTAGTACCCTAGATTCCCTAAGTAAGCGACATCGATTTAAATAACCATTATGCCTACACCTTGATTTTCGAGTTTGTATAGTAATCTCTTGATTAGTTTTTGTTAGCGGTCAGCACCATCCTAAGGCACACGCTAAGTAACGAACCGATGCAAATATGTGGTTATCTCGAAAAAATAATTGAGTTGTTTTATAGAAAAGCGAATGAAAAGCTTTGGTTCCCTCTAAGTTAGGTGGTCCTCACCCGACCATTTAGCTCAACAGATCAGATTTCTAAAATTTGAAAAGAAAACAAAACAAAACAAAAGAAGAAAAAGAGCAAAAAGTCAAATACCGAGATCATAAACACTAACAGGTTCACTCATCATGCAAGTGCGGGGATAACGGGGTTAATATGATCGCGCGAGAATGAAAAATAGGGAAAAAGAAACGAGGAATGTAGGTCGAGTTATAATGGTATGATTTGGATTGGTATGGCATAAGGGGAGCTTTTGTCCGCAAATGTGAATATATGACATTATGGTATCCATGTTATCAAAGTCTAGTACCTATCCTTTTAGCATTAGCCTAATTGTTGTGTACCATTTTAGAGTCGTATTGAGCTTTTGTTTTGGATATTGCATCGACTGTTTTCATATGTGTTGGGAGTTTTCTTGAGGACAAGCAAAAGTCTTAGTGTGGGGGAGTTTGATAACAAGAAATCGTATCATATTTTTAGGCTCATTGCGCATATGATTCATCCGTTTTTATCGCATTTTATTTGCATTTTACTTTGTTTTATGTGTTTTGCAGTTGATAGCTTCATCTATTGCAGAATCGGGAGCGAAGCGGAAAAAGAGTGAACGAAGAGGAAAATGCAGCAAGATAGAAAGAAACCTTCCCTTTTGCTGATATGGCGTTCGTCGTACATTAGTCTGCCACATATTTAAATGAAGCAAGGTCGTGGCATTCGCCATGACCTGATGGCGTTCGCCATTGCTGCGTAGTTGCAGAATTCAAATTCTACAACCATGTTGAGCAGTTTTCACTTCCTCTTTCCCCTCAACTCAGAGACCTCGACCTGGGTAGTTGGGATCACTATTTCCTCTATATATAGCACCCCTTGGTCATATTCCAGGACAGAAAAAAATCACGCGGAAGCTCTGTCGAAATTCCCTTTAGATTTTAGGCATAAATTTAGTTTTAAAGCGGCAATTACTCAGATCGAGGAATTATCGCGTATTTTATTGTAATTTTCTTTTCGTTGCTGTATTGTTGGATTACGAACTAGCCTGCCGACATTATTTCAATTCAGTACTTTTACTCTACAAGTTATTTCTTGTTTTTACTTTTGCACTTGAATTACTTTAATTTTGTATGCAATGTTAGTTTTAATTTCGATTATCGTTAATATGTTTGCTATGCATAATATCATGTCTTACTAAATTTAATTGAGTTTGGCGTATGAGGACCATCGTTACCGATGGGACTCCATAGAAAATTTAGGTGCGAAATTATTGATCCTATGTCAGTTTTGGTTTTTGTTTCTAGTTTTCATGTTTTATTATTTCGACATGAGAGTGAGAAATATACTAAGTTCGGACCGATAACGCGAGAGTGTGAGAAATGAACTGATAGTGGAAACTAGGCATCAATCCTAAAAATAGCGAGAGCGCTTTAGGAATCGTTTAGAATTTCATCAACTTCCAAAATATTGTTTTTAATTGAAATGGGCGAGTTAGAGCAAAATCATGTGGTTGAAAGGTGTGGTTCTTGTCAATAGTGCGAGAGTGTGAGACGAAATCTTTAAGTTAGTACTTTCTACGGAATTGCCTTCAGTTGTAATTAGCACCCGATTTGTACAAGTCCTTTAGGTATGCAGAATCCATATTCCTGACTCGTTTTTACTGTTATTTCTAAATACCTCTAGAATTAGTAATTATTTCTTCCCATCTTAAATTCGTAAATCTTTAGCCTTAGCTTTGCACTACAACATTAGGTTGCATTAGTTTGATTATCGCTTTCATATGGGTACGACAACTTTTTTTAAAACTACACGAATAGTTGTATACTTGCAGTTATTATCTGACTGACACGTCAGAGTTGTGCTTGTGGACCATTCAATGATTTATCAACATTTATTTGAAACTTCGATCTTATTAATGAATGGCTAATGTGTATGGTCTATTCTGAGAATGGTTCAAAAATGACTTATAGTATATGGTTTATTAATAATGAAAATTTTCTTCAAAATTACAGTTAAGGGGTACAAATTCTCTCTTGGGGTTTTATAGATTTTAAAATCCGAATTCTCCCCATTTTTAACCATTTTGTGATGAAACACAGACCAAGGCCAATGCATGGGGTTTATTTAAAGATTGAAATATGTATTTTAATAGTATATCGAGAGATTGGAATCTGAGTTATTTTTTGGCAAAAATGAAGGTGTCTCTTTGATGAAGTAATATTGTTGTAAAATGAGTGTGCATAGATTTCAATCTTCTAATGCTACGAAACATATTTTCGAATTTCCATATAGTCTGTGAGCACTATATGGGGGTATAGTGAGCACATCCTTTTTTATTCATATCACCCAAACAAACAAATTCTAAGAGGAATATTTTATATTATCCATAACTTTTTCAGAATCAGTTTCCTTAACTTCAAAATTTCTTTTATTATAACAAATTCGAAGTGTCCACACACGCGCGCGCGTGCACACACACACATGCGCGCACACACACACACACATATTAGATGTTCTTATGCTTTTTCTTTTTAAAGATCCACTCAAAGAAATTGAAATGAGTTAATTCATTTAGGGGAACACCCCTACACACTCTAACCATTCAAAAATATGTGTCCAATTTAAATAAAAAAAACTCTCTGTGAATTGTCCTATAACACAAATAAGTCATGTCTCAGGTTCAAATTCTATTAGATTTAAAATATTTAAATGATAATATTTAAATGATAGAGAATTGTGTAATTGATCCCCCTGAATTAGTCAATCTTATAGTAGAATTCAAAGTTTTTTCGTCCAAAAACAATTTTGACAAATGGGCATGTATAATTAGGAGTCAATTTTTTTAATAATCTCCATGCAAGCACTATGCTTTTAGATAGACAAAATTTTATAACAATTCATTAATATCCCGCAATAACTCATCACTATTATAGATCTCTACATACTCATCTAATAACAAGTTGTGATCACTTTTGATAGCGTGCAATCCATCATTTTGAAATATTTTTAAGGCTAAGCAAAAGGTTAACCCCACTTAAGGTTACTATTTTAAGAAAATTTGGGTTAATGATGATTAAGAACTAAGTTCCGAGGCATTTATTAATGTTTAAGGCTAAAAAAACTTGGTGCCTACTAACAAAGGAAATGTCATGAGACAGATATAACCAAAATAAGAGGTTAGTAAAAATCTAAATCAACTGCAAAATCAATTCAAGCGATCTCATATGTCTCACTTAAAGCATCACGCACTTACATACATCGTGTTTGAGGAACTATAGAATGTCAATCTTATTTTCACGGGGATACCTGCAAATAAGAGACTTCTATAATATTCCGAAAAGAACAACCCAGAAAAAGATCGGGCTATAAGTAACTTGGGCCAGTATAGAGAGAGCTCGTTATAAGATGACAAATGCACTCATCATCGGACCGACTCGAACCTTAATATTAAAACTGACTCGACTAATCTAGGCTTAACCTATGTAGACGAGAAACATCCATTAAAAGAATATATAAAACAAAATCTTTCACTCAAAACATCTCGCCCTTACATGTCTCATGCTTGAGAGATTGTGTACAATTTTGTTTCTTAAATGTCTCATGCTTGAGGGATTGTGTACAATTTTATTTCTTAAATGTCTCATGGTTGAGGGATTGTGTACAATCATGTTTCTTAAATAAAGCATCCGACCCTTACATGCCTCATACTTAGGAATTATGTACTTGTCCAAAAATTTAAGGCAGATTTAAATCCAGAGTCACGGGAGTCCTTCCCAATATGAAGGCATCTCATAGGACAATACCAAATTAGTTCAACTTAACTGAGCCAACAAAAATAGGTTAGCTCAAAGCCGATATATCTGATAAATGGACAATTCACCTCAATGTAAGACAAAGCCTTAAAGGCATATTACACATAAATGGTCTATCTCATGCAGAGAAGTAAGGACTTGATTCTCATTTACTACTTACACGTAAACATTGAAATATAGGTCTTAATGGCCAATCGAATGGGAGGCGGAGCAACCAAAACCACTTTATAAAGGATGTGATCATAGAGAGAAAAACAAACTTTCATACCGCTCATATTGAGATAAACTATTTTTGTTATATATATATATATATATATATATATATATATATATATATATATATATATATATATATATATATATATATATATATATATATATATATATATATATATATATATATATATATATATATATATATATATATATATATATATATATATATATATATATATATATATATATATATATATATATATATATATATATATATATATATATATATATATATATATATATATATATATATATATATATATATATATATATATATATATATATATATATATATATAACACTTTGTTGATGAACATAATATCTATATATATAAATGTCATATTTATAAAAAATGACATTTATAATTGTTTTGATATGATATATACGCAGTTCATGATCATATGCAAGATTTTAACTTTTGAATAAGAAAAACAAAATCTAAGTATCACATAAAACATTTGAAGTGGTAGTCTCATGGCACTCTATCATAGTAGGTCTTATAGGGTATGATTGTGTGGACTCTATCTCAAAAAGATCAGAACTTGCATCACTAGCTACATCTTCATCTTCTTTTTCATGTCCATGATTATGATCATCATCATCATCATCTATTTTCAACTTCCCTTTTGATGTTGTTTTGTGACTTACTGACTTTATAGCAATTTGGTCTTGTGAGAGAGTTTGAACTTGAGGTGTTGGTGATGAAGTTGTTGAAGTAGAGGCTTTTGGTGTTGAAGTGTTGTTTTCTTTGACTTGCAAAGAATGTTTATCAAAACAAGAACATGTTTTTCTTAAAAGAGCTATAGGTTTTGACAATGAAGCTTTGATGTTCTTGTAAAGACTAACAAAAATGTTAAAATTAGATTTAGAACAAGATTTTGAAGGTGTTGTTGGAGTTGTAGCATGGAATGATGATGATGATGAAACATAACATGATTTGTCGTTGTTGGTAACTTCATTGAAATTGGAATCATGATCATGAGATATGCATCCACTAGTAGATTCTTTAGCACTTTTCTTTGGACTCGTGTTTTCTTGAATTTCTCTTTCCATTTTTCTCACTTTTATTTTGAAGGGATTTCAAACTAAAGATTGGAGCAAATGCATTTAATTAATACTTCTTGTGCTTCTATATATTTGTGTATGTGTGGGGGTCGTTCCAAAGTTTTTGTGAATGTGTGAACTAAGAAAATAATACTACTTATGTTATAAAAATATAATACTAATTATCATCTATAATTTGTTCAATGATTACAGTTTTTTATTTTATTTTTTAAATTCAATGAATCTCTATTTAATTTAGGGTCTTGCTAATTAGTGACTTAAATGTCTTAAATATGTTCATTAAAAAATTTAAATAAAATTTTCTTTTCAAAAATTAAATATTTTAATTTTCAATATATTAAATATAAAATTTTTTTTGGCCTATAGAAAGTGTCTTTAGGATTCTTGGTAATATTTCATTTTATTTATTATGAAAGGGTGTTAGTTTATTGTAGAAAGAGTTACTTTATAATTTTAAAATATTCAATTCGAATTTAAAACTAATATTTCAACATTCAAAATAATATTTTAAAATTTGGAATAAACTCGTATAATTAATTGTTTGAATAAAACAATTTGACTAATTAATTGATTTAATTTCAATTACATTTTAATTTAATTAAACGGAGTTCAACTACATTTATAAGTTCAATCCATTTTTATTTCTTATATTTATTTTTACCTTTTAATAATTTACACAATTTTATTCATTATTAGTCTTGTTAAACTGTGGATGAGTTGATTAAACATACCAAATTATTAATCGTTAACCAAAACACATGAGGGCCACCACTAATGTTAGGTATGATCTACTTAAGCTTAGTGTTAATGGTTGAAAATTTTCTAAGCACTCATTTTAACTTTTTTTAATGATTTTTCCCCCTTATATTATCCATCTAAATTTGGATAATATTACTAGCTATTTATAACTATTCTTTTAATCACTTTTAGTGATTTCTAAACTTGTGAGATGTGACCATATAGGTTCATGAATTTGTTGGACGTTGATAAAATTGATTTGAAATTACTAACAAATTGACAAAAACGTCTCTAAAGTTATAAATTATTAGTTACTAACAAATTGACAAAAACGTCTCTAAAGTTATAAATTATTAGTCATTTTAGTTCATATGTCACCTTCTTCTGCTAGTAAAGCTATCAGATTTTTTCTTTAAAGTATTCCTAATTTTATGGCAAATTTTTTTATTTTCCAGTGTTTATGGAAATTTCTTAATGTTTCACAAACTAACAAAAGAGAGCAATCCTACAGTTTTATTTAGGGGTGTTCATGGGTGCGGGTCGACCCGCAAACCCGCCTACCCAAACCGAACCAAACCACTAATTACTCGGACCCATTCATTTACGGGTATACCCGACCCAACCCGTAACAACCCGTATAGATTTGGTTCGGGTATTGGGTTTTAGTTTCTAAACCCATGAACTCGTTGACCCAACCCGTTGACGTGGCATAATTAATTATTATTATTATTATTATTATATTATTATTTATAAATTTTAAAGTTGCTATAACTTTGTAAACTGTAACGTACACAAGGATCTTTTGCACTTTCCTTCCAGTTTCCAATCACACATTAAATTATTATTATTATTATAATTAAACATTATTATTAATATTAATCATGCTTGCTTGACTTATGCACTTCTAGTTTACACTTTACTGCCTTTTTTATTTTTTTAATGAATCTTTATTAACTAATAATAATTAAGTATATATTAGAAACTTACTAAACTAAAGACAATACCACTTAACCTAACCCTATTTTTTTACTACGGCAAATCTCAAACGCCACCACTTCTCTTTCTCTCACGATTTTTTTTTTCATTTTACTCTCTCACATTCCAATTCCATCTTGCTTTCGAAAATCCACAGTCTATACTTTGACTCTCTCATAGTTTCGTCTCCATATTGAATAAGGTTTTATACTTTTTATAGTTCTACAATATATTTATTTCAATGCAATATATTGTTTTTACAGTATGTACTTCAATAGTTTTATATCAATGCAAAATATGATGATAGGTTCAATGTAATGTACTATTTTGTTTCATATGATGCAAAGTACTATTTTGTTTCATATGATGAAAATATATTTTGATGCAAAGTCCTGTTCTGTTTCATATTATTAATTTAAATATATTTTGTTTAATGTTGTTTTAATAATAATTTATATTAAAAATTGTTTTTTTTATAGAAAATGGAAGTGGAACAATCACAAATTGTCAGTGAAGATGTTGCTCATCCACTTGAACAAGAGCAAGAAGTTCAACAAATACAAGGAGAAGGGTTGTCATCATTGCCACCAAGTGCACTAATAGAGGTAAGCAAAAGAAAACCCTCTAGAAAACCTTTTACAGTTTGGAAAGATTTTAAAAGGGTTAATGATAAGGCTATATGTAAGTATTGTAGGAAACAATATGCTGCAAATAGTGGTAGTCATGGCACTACTAACATGCATAAACATTTGAAAGTGTGCCTGAAAAATCCAAATAGGGTAGTTGATAAGAAACAAAAAACTATAGCTATTGGAAAAGAAAGTGAGGATGATCCTAATAGTGTTAGCTTGAAACTTGTTGATTTTAATCAAGAGAGGACTAGATTAACACTTGCAAAGATGATAATCATTGATGAGCTCCCTTTTAAATATGTTGAAAATGAAGGATTTAATATGTTCATGAAAGAGGCTCAACCAAGATTCAAAATTCCATCTCGTGTCACTGTTGCCAGAGATTGTTTATGCTTGTACTTCGATGAGAAAGAAAAATTGAAATCTATGTTGTCTGCTAATAAACAAATGGTGTCTCTTACCACTGATACTTGGACATCGATTCAGAATATGAATTATATGTGTGTTACAGCTCACTATATTGATGACGAGTGGAATTTAAAGAAGAGTATATTAAACTTTGGTATAATTACTGACCATAAAGGTGAAACTATAGGGATAACATTAGAGAATTGCATGAAGGAATGGGGTATCAAGTCTATATGTTGTGTGACTGTTGATAATGCAAGTGCTAACAATTTGGCAATTGATTATTTAAATCGAGGCATGAGTTTTTGGAATGGTCGTACTTTGTTTAATGGGGAGTACTTGCATATGAGATGTAGTGCTCACATATTAAACTTGATTGTCAAAGAAGGAATAAAGGATATTGATGAATCTGTTAAAAGAATTAGGGCTGCATGTAAGTTTGTCAAGACTTCTCCTAGTAGGTTGGCTACTTTCAAGAAGTGTGCAGAAGCTGTTGGTGTATGTTCTAAAGCATTGGTAACACTAGATGTAGAAACCAGATGGAACTCTACTTATTTAATGTTGAACATCGCTGAAAAGTATAAACATGCATTTTACCGCTTAGAACATGCTGATGTTGCATTTTTAACTAATCTCCGTATTGAGTCGAAAGGATGTCCTAATCGAGCTGATTGGGAACGAGCTCGTATTTTTGTGAAGTTTTTGAAAACTTTTTATGATGCCACACTTTCTTTTTCTGGGTCATTGCATGTTACTGCTAACTCTTTTTTCAAACAGTTGATGGATATTAAAAAAACGTTGAATAAATGGAGGCACAATGTTAGTGATCCAATTTTGAAAACCATGACAGCAAATATGCAATTGAAGTACAACAAGTATTGGGAAAGCAATACAATAAATTATCTTCTCTTTGTTGCTATTTATCTTGATCCTCGTTATAAGCTTGACTATATTGAATTTTGTTTTACTCGGATGTATGGTGAAAAATTGTCAGAGGATATGTTAAAGAAATTGAAATCTCTCATTGCTAAATTGTTTGAGCACTATTTATTTTTGTATCCTGTTTCTCATGATGGTGGTTCCAATGCCTCATCTTCAAACATTGCCTCTCATTCTAGAATTGAAAATGGTGAAGATGATGAAGATTGGGACAATTTGTTTAGAATGAATATGAAGAAAAAACAATGTGAAGTGCAAAAAAATGAGTTGGAAAGGTATTTGGAGGATGGTGTTGAAGATGATTCTCCTACATTTAATATTTTCACTTGGTGGAAAGGAAAAACAAATAAATATCATGTGCTTTCCCGCATAGCTAGAGATATATTGGCTATCCCTGTATCCACTGTATCTTCTGAATCCGCTTTTAGTACAGGAGGTCGTGTCCTTGATTCATTTCGTAGTTCCTTGAATCCCTCTACCGTTGAAGCTTTGATTTGTACTCAAAATTGGATCAAATCTCCTAAGGTCATTGATTTAGAAAAAGAGTTAGTTGAATTGGAAAAGGTTGAGTCAGGTATGAATTATATGTTTGAATTTTAAAATCTATTTTATTTTAGTATTACATTACATTATTCTTATTAGTTGTTTGTGTTTACATATATAGAGTTAGCTGGATTAGTTTCTATTGATGTTGGCATTACTGCGGTTGAGCTCAATACAACTGCTACTACTAGATTTTAAGGTATTTTCTAGTGTTGTTTTTTTTCTTCTTCTTTTGACTATTGTTGCTTAAACTTTTAACTGTTGTTGCTGGATTTTATGTTGTTGCTAAACGTTTCATTGTTGTTGCTGGAATCTTTTACAGCTACTGTTGCTGGATTTTCTGTTGTTGCTAAACCTTTCACTGCTGGTGCTGGAATCTTTTATAGTTGCTGTTAGATTTTGGTGCTATTAGACCAATATTGGACCAATACATCTATGTCATTTTAAGACTAAGTGATGTTTATTTGCTTTTGAATTATTTAGAATTTATGAATTTTATGGAAATGATATTTTATGGAATTTTATATATTATTAAGTGTTAATATATATGATAGTTTACGGACCTACTTTTAAGCATGTGCTAGAAAAGGTAACATTTGAGTATCAAAACAACTAATATATACTGTATATTATTATATATTTGTTTTACATATGTTGATATATATTTGTAATGGATAACATTTGAGTATCAAAATAACTAATAAATTTTTATAAATTAAGGTATATTAATGAAAATATATAAATAATTAATGG